TAAAATAGGGACAATAATAGTACCTATATAAAAAAGCTGCTTTGAAGATTATAGTTAATATGTTACCTAATAAATTATCTAAGACTTAAACAACTTATAATGATGCCCAACACATAAGTGTCAAATTCTGTCATCTTTACATATCATCCCCATTAAATGCTAAAGGGAAGTTGACAGATGCTGAAGGGAATGGGGAGAATCCCTATTTGCGATAGCCCTACAGACAGTCAACCTCATCAAATAAAAATGATGGACTGTAAAGGCATTATTACCTTGGACTTTTTAGTAGACATCAGATATGGGACAAATTTTGAGAAGGGCCTGATAGATGACTCACCAGGAGGTGGCCCCACTTAAAATAAATAGGAACTTAAGGAAGAGCATTAATTAAGTCCTTTGATGTCTGCTGACTCCTGGTTGCATCTATGCAGGCAACAGGAGGAGCCTRGCAGGCAGACGCAAAGGGCCAGCTCCCAGGGACAGGCTGCAGACTGCTTGTAGGAAGAGCAGGGTGGAAGAACTGGAACTTTATCCCAAGGTTGGAAATAATGCCACAAAAAAGACAACTTCAAAACATGTGCTCAACAAATTGTATTTCCAAAGGGAGTCAGATTTGTGGGAGACTCAAGGTGTTCTTGGAGCACTCTGGAAGTAACTGATGGTTTTTGTGTCATGTTGAATAAAGTGCTAGGTCTCTTCCTCATTGCTCACATCAAAATGTGCAATGTACTAAGCTGAATATACTTCTAACTAAAAAAATAGTTATTAGTTCCCCCTTTAATGGGCAAATTTATAAGACTTAAGCTAAAATATCAATGTCATTTAGAGGTCAAATCTTTGAAATAGGAGGGCAGCATCTGCTGGCCTTGAATTCAGCCCATTTCAGATTCTGGATCTGGAAATCCTTAACAGTTTAACTGGACATGATCTTAAATTGCCATCTATTTAAGTGCTGGCAGACAAGACTGTACTAATGCTAGGAAATTCTGGATGTTCTTTATATGTTTTACGTATAATAGTTTCCAAATTTCATAGAGAGCCATCTTGGGTTTTATTATCACCTTGTTTAGAGAGGAAAAAACTATTCACAAAAGGCTAAAATAGAGCCTAAGATTTTTTCCCCATAGAACCAGCTTCTTCTTAATCAAAACCTATTTTTAGATGCATATAGAGCCTGTCCTTGTTAAACGTAGTTTTTCTTCTTTACTTCCTTGAGGTTCTTTTACTGGGAAACTTGAATCCAGTGTTTCTAATGGAAACCAGGATCTATAGTGCTATCAGGTGCTGGAGTGTCCCATCAGCCAGAGGGACCTTCTCTTTTCAACTGCCTATCTCTTTCCTCCTGCCCACCATAACTTCTACACTAAAGACATAAAGCAAGAGATCAAGTAAATGTGTCTCTTTAGCCTGTTTACAGGAGACAAACCAACAAATTTTGAACAAGAGAATAAAAGACGGGGGAAAAAATTTCCATACTACTTATGAAGCAAAATATGTTATGTCCAAGAGACAGGATACCAAAGAAATGCCATCTACCTCCCCTAAAAAGTCTGTCTCCTTCTTCTCATCCCCAAACTGATAACAATTATATTTAGAAAGGTAGAACTTTTAATGTATCTTAAACACTTCTAAGTATTCTGTATTAATATTGCTTCAAAATTTTAAACATTAGTTGTATTCTAAATGCAGACAAGGAAGATGAACTGTATTAAAGCAGAAGAAACTGTTCAGAAAAAGGAAGAACTGACTGATATTTAAGTTGACAGAAATGGACCACTGAAGAAAGCCGAAAAAATTAAAGAACACAGTTCTCATGTGTGCCAGCTGGCAAGACAGGGTTGGATCATTGGGACCATTTACTACCCTGCACTTGGATGGGGAAGAGTCATATTTCTCTGCAGGACTGACCTCAGACTTCAGGGTAGTGGAGTGTGCTCAGAAAGAAACAATTCTTTCAAGGGTCTTGCAAAAGGAAATGCACTCCCATAAAGTGGAATTAACAGGCTTCAAGCCAGTTGCTGATGAGCACGGCACATTGATTGGAGGTAATTATTTGAAAGCAGAGGAAGTCAAAATATATCCTTTCATGTAAGTGATTGAAGGGGTGTGTAAGGAGAGATGACTGGAAGTGAAGTAGACACAGAGTTAGTCTTGGTAATGTTTATCTGCAGGAATAACCTGTGCCATTAAAATGTGCAGGCACTTTTGGCCGCAGTACCCAACACATAATAGACACTAAGTACATACTTGCTGAGTGAATGGGTTCATAAATAATTACAAACACATGTATGCCTACATAGTTCTATTCTACATTATTATTCTTATATTCTTATTTTTCACACTCATACGTATTCTCTATACATAAATATTATATATCATATTATATATTATATTATTATATAGTCTTATGTCCTTATTCTATAGTCTTATGTATTCTTATTCTACATTATTATTGTATATATTTATACATATTGGCTAATGGACTTGACTAAAATAGAAATTTGTTAACAGGGAAGTATTCCTGTATTAATGGTTAATAATTTTGAGGATTTCAGTGTTCATACCACACCCCGAAGTGTAACAACTTGGCATGCTAAACACTTTGAACTGAGAGACACTCAGTTCAAAGCCTCAGAATCAAGGTCTTTCTGACCTTTTCCCATCCTGCTCTCTCTTATCCCTTTCTTCTCCCCTGAAGTATATAAAACAGAATTTCCCTCCCCCAAAGCAAGCCATAAAACCTAGCAAAGTTACTGTCTCCTTTATACTTTGAAGACCCTCATTCCACAGGGGTCTTGCCCTGTATGCAGGAGAAAGGAATCTAAAGGAAGTCAGGAACAATCTGAACAGGCCGACTTTGTTGGGCTTTTCCCCTCAGTCATTACCATTTGATCAAATCCTTTTGTCCAGTCACACTTTTATATGCTGCCCATGCCTCACTGGACCCCAGCATAAAAACAGGCATTTTTTCCTTGTCTTTCTGGGTCTTTATTTCTGTTGTCTCCCATGTAACACAAAACTTTGCTTAAATAAATACGTTATGCTTTTCTTTTGTGGACCTGACTTTTGTCATAGGATTGTCCATTGTGACCCTCATGATGGGTGAGCAGGGCTATCACACCTGTCCACCTTTACAAGGGTAAAAGGAATAGTGAGAAGCAGCTACTAGAAAAYGTTGATGTTAGTGTTCTTCCCTTAGGAAAGAAGTTTCTGCCATTGTGAATATATTATCTTTTAAGTGATAACACTATCCAAGAAAAAGTTAAAAAAAAGAACAATCTGTATTTGGGGTAAAAATGGGAGTTCATAACCCACTTGAATCTAATGTATGAAATATGATATGTCAAGAGCTTTGTAATGTTTTGAACAACCAATAAAAAAGAAAAAAAAGAACAAATAAAAAAAATTTATAAAGGTAACTATAACAAACTTGGCTATAACACGAAGCATCTAGAATCTTGATGAAATGCAAAATGTCCATTGATTTTCTGCAAATTTCAAAACATATCAACAGATTTGCTTAAGTTCTCATGACTAAAACTTTATTTATTATCTCCATTTTCCCTTTCCTTCCCTATATTGCACATCCCCATACCCTTGAAATGTGGTATATGCTTCAAAAATAATATACAGGAACACATAATGAAGACAAGAGAAGTTACAGAAAGGAGGGTAAGTATAAGATGTTGGGAATAAATTGAGAAATTTATATTTATTTATGTATATAAACTGTAGATAACTGCATGACTTTTATTTATTTATTTATTTATGCTCTATTTATATAACTGCATGGGTTTTATTTTATTTTTGCCTGAAGTTTAGGTATTTTGTATTTAAAGCTTTGACTGGCATCAAGATCAAGTAAATATTAAATCAGGCCACTCAGATACTAAATTTTAGAAAGGGCCTCATTCTCTTTTCATTTCACCCAAGTACAGTTGTTAATGACATGTTAACTACTTAAATTCACCATAACATCTAGTTTCCCTCCGCCACCTTCACTTTATTTGTCTTAGTTTATAGACATTATCTGTTTACACATCCCTAACCAGACTGCAATCTCTTTAACAAATGGGTCTCAAAGGCTTCTTGGAACCTGGAGTGACCTATGCAGAGGAGGAACTTACTAGATGTTTGTGAAAATGAAATTCACTCTTGCACATTCCAACTCTACATTGTAGTTTATTTCCATTCATTTACGTGTACTTTTGTAAGACCCAGAGAAATTTTTTTCCCTTCATTTTAACCTCACGGATCTTTGTCTTTTGTAGAAAAAGTACTCTTTCAGGATAACTGAATACCAAATTAAAAAAAAATCACAACAACAGAAAACCTCTCATAGCTTATTCATACTTATTACTACAGATATAAAAAACTATTGGGGCTGACATAAGTACTAATAGATAAATGCCTTCTTTTATCTTAAACATCAAAATATTAATAACTGATAGGAACAACCCCACTAACGGACACATTCAAAAACCGCTCAGTTGATGGTAATATGTGCCAGAGATAAAGGATGATATCTTTTTAAAGGATGTCAAAAAAACTCATTAGCAATATGAGCTACAGAGACATGGTTCTTATCAGTACTGGGGATTAAACCCAGGGTTTACCAATAAGCTCCATGCCAGGTCCTTTTTCTTTTTTAATGTTTTACTTTGAGACAGAGTCTCATGACATTGTGAGAGGCTGACCTCGAACTCATGAGCTTTCTGTCTCCTGAGAAGCTAGGATTAYAGATGTGCCAGCTGAAAGRTGGTTTTTAAGGGAGTTTACTATTTAAACAATATCTTCAAAGCAATGGAACAATTCTTTCATGGTTTTTGTTTCTTATGTTTTTTAAGAAAATAGAAAATAAAATTATGTTTTTCAATCTCAATAGTATGTTGAGATTTAAACATAACCCAAATCTCAGAAACATATGCTTAGGGTGAGCATTGAATTGCCAAGTAATTTACCTGGGAAACAGCATTAGTACAAAGACCCAGGACTCTTACCATCAAATCCATCTTCTTCCGACCCCAGTTCATCATCTGAGCAGATGTTGAGGACATTTACCAGCATCTCAGTCACTGGACAGGAAAGAAAATAAAATCCAGATTTTGTTATAACCTTAATTACTACTCTGATATTGTAAATCAACAAGTTTAGTACAGGAGATTCTCAGTGTACAGAATCACTTGCAAAGCAGTCTATATAAAATCCACATCATAAAAGACACAGACTTTCTGATTTTATRTAGACTCTATGTTTATCAAATTATTATCTCATCCCTATGAAATGTACTGCTAATATCTATCAGCTGAAGGTCAATAGAAAATGGATAAGTCAAGTATATGAATATGAATATCATATAAATCTGTAAAGATGCAAGTAGTTATTTTTTAATTTTTTATTTATTTGCAAAATGATTCTGCATGATCTAGATTAGATTACAAACTTCTGTTCAGTAGGGACTAAGTAAATTCAGATTTCATTTTTAATTTTTTTTTACTCCTCCAGAGAGCCCAGCACAATGACAGGTATGTGGCCTTGTACTTAATAAAAATGTTAGATTGATGAATTAATACATTTGAAGTTGTTTTGAAAACATAAATCTTCAAGAAGAATGTTAGAAATTTTCCAAAAATGGCTTTAAAATAACTTAATTATAGTTTAATCAGAAATTTAGTTAAGTATATTACAATAGGCTTACAAAAATAAAAGTATTATACACATACTCAGGAAATTAGTGCTGTATTATTCTTACACTAATGTAAATGGTATTCCATTTAATATTTTTTGAAATTAGGTTGAGTTACTTTCTTTTCTATTTACTTATTTTACTGGGGATGAGCCCAGGGTGCTTTATCATTGAGCTACATCCTCAGACTATCATGCCCCCAACCCTGCTTTTTGAGACARTGTCTCCCTAAATTGTCCAGCCTGATCTCCAATTTGTAATCTTCCTGCCTCAGTCTCTCTAGTCACTGGGATTACATGTGTGTGTGCCACCAGTCGGGCACAATTGAGTTTTATCATACATATGAAGAGAAAGTTGCACACTAATTCTTTAAAAGGTACTTTTAAAAGTAATATGAGGGCTGGGGCTTTGGCTCAGTAGTAGAGCTCTAGTCTTGCAAATGTGAGGCCCTGGGTTCAATCGTCAGCATCACATGTATAAAAAAAATAAAAAATAAAATAAAATATGATATTTTAAAAAATGTTCTTGAAGATAAAGTAAAACCTTAGTGGAGCCAAAATTAATGCAGAGGTTCAGTTTCATAATAAAAATATAAATTATCTTTACTAATATATTAGTGTGTTGTTTTATAACACATGGTCAAAATTTGAATAATTAATGGAAGCCATTCAACTCAAGTGTGTTCAAGAGCATCCAATAGTTATCAGGATTCAAGCTGCTTTGATTTCCGGAGGATCCGAGAGACAATTTTACCAGGTGCTGCAATTTGAGCAATGCAAGAAAGCATCCAACGTAGCACTGGCAGGACATTATGAAAATGTACTTGTGACTTATTTTGATTTCCAAAGGGAAGAATTTTTCACTGACCACTCACAATTTGGTTTGTGATATATATATATAATATATATAAACTCAAATATTATGTGGCTTCAGAAAGATGTGTAGCTCTTCTCTAAAGCTCCCCACAACACACCCTGTTTTTCTGAAACACATGGAAACTCTTATCTTTATTACAAACCCACTTGTGTCCTTGTGAGGTACATGAGAAGATGCATTAGGAATGATCTGTCTGTCACTGAGAGGCCTCATGACTAAAGGTTCATGGGTTTTTTCTGAGGTTTAGGAATATATAAAAGTAAAACAAAAAAGAAAAGAAGGAAGGAATGAAGAAAGGAAGAAAGGGAGATAGGAAGGACAGGAGCCAGAGAGGATAATAAAGGAGAGAGAAAAAGGGAGGAAAAAAAAGGAGGAAAAGCCAATTTCTGAAAAATTGGGTCAAGTTAATACACAAGGTTTCAAATGTAAATTTGTCTCCCTGTTCCTACCTTGTAACACACTAATGCTCAATATATATTTAATAAATTACTCTTTTAATTGTTTTATGAGCTATTTTTCAAAATATGGTGGCCATTAAGGGCTACCAGTACCATGACCATTACTCACATTAGAAATGTAACAAAAGTATGCTGAAACCAGCTAAAGCTATATTTCTGTTATTTTTAAATTAGATTATTCTAATAAGACTTTATGAGTTCTCCTAATATTCTAATGAATTCTCCTGATGAATTCTTATAAATTCTCCTAATATATTCCTCATTTCCTGTTAACCCATTCATTGTATATTGTTAATATATACACAGTGACACACTTTTGAATCTCTTCTCCCATGGCCCAGCTTGCCATTTTACTGGTTAGACCAAAGGATTTCTGTTTCTGAACACTTCTTATTAAAACAGAACAAATCTCCTCTCCTCCCATTATATGCCATCTGGTTAAGGACCTCTCAAGATTGTACAACACACCTTTTTCCCCAACAAATGGCAGGGACCAAGTGAAAACATCCATGAAATTTGGAAGCCAGTATGGATGGGGAGAGCAGTTGAATTGCCTGATATTCATAACGTTGTTCTCATACTTCAATACTGCAGCTAAAAAACAACAGAAAACAAACAGAAAGAAGCATGTTAGATTCACAGCACGTTTCTGCTTCTATACATGGTTTAGTTGATTATGAAAACTCAATTATTTGACTTAAGTTCCAAAACATCAAACCAAATTGCTTTATCAGTCCTGAGTGCTTAAACTACTTATGGACTTAAGCTGTACCCACTGTAATGTGTTTCTGCACAATATGTGAATAGTAAATATGAAGCAGCATCATAATTTGGCAAATATTTATATAAAACAGTTAATCAAATGTCTGTTGAGAATTTTATCAGGCTGCTCTTGCAGCCAAGAACATTCCATTCTCATTTAATACCCGATGACAAGAATAAAGGTGGCATGGCTAAGTTAGTTAGAAATAATTTAATAATCTCCTCAAATATTTGAATTGAATTTCTGTTAAAAAAAGCAAACCTTTTGTTCTGTAGAACTCAAAATAGTTGTACAAAATAGTTTAGATTGCTTTTCTGACTTAATCAAATATTTGGATTGCGTCCTACATAAAATGATATGCCGCTGACCCTATCCTTGACTTTTGAAAAAAGGCACAGAATGGATGACTTACAAAATCAAACCTGCATGTTTCACTCTGCTTCCAGAAACACTTGATTTATACCCCTATATTGCATTTATCACTTGGCTTTAATCACAGGTATCCTGTGAACACATGTTCTTTCTCCCACTGTCTTTAAAGACAAGTACCACACAACAAGCTTTGTAGCCTTTGTTTCCCACATATCACCTCACTCAGTGCCAGTGCTCAGAGGGTAGAGACAAATCTTGATATGTCTCTTACATTTTTCTTCAAGCAAACTATTCTAAATTTCCCTGAACTTCAACAAGAAATGTGAGATCATTTCTTGGTACTTTTCATCACCGTGTTCATCTCTGATCTAGAGGCAGGCCAGATTGGCAATGCCTCTGTGTAATTGTGGCTTAGTGTGCACACAATCTTTCAGGTGGTCTGGATCTACATGGAGTATAGAAAAGATATATAGTTTTCTGTGAGTTGGTTACTATGTGTATCATACTGTAGCCTGATGACAATGTTGATGTTTTCAGCAGCTTCCAATTGACTAAGCTCCTACTTACACACAATAAGGGCTTTGCTTTGAATTAAATTCCTGGTGAATGACAATGGTTCCAGGGAACAAAGAATCACAAACTTTGAGAATAAAACATTCGGCTACTACAGTCAACATCAATATAGAGGGAGTCATCCTCTTTTTCTTGTGGAACCTTGAATTCTCCTGCATATATTTCTGGAGTGAATTCTCTTTTACCTTATTCTATAATTTATATGCTGTACGTCATTTGGCCTAGGAATACATTGATATATGGTATTAAAAACAAGCAAAATAAAAAAATCATGGCAATAAWTTTATTATATTGAAATCATCATATCAATACTTCTGATTTGGGGGATGGGAAAGGCAAAGTATTTGTAATGTCTGCCAAGTTCTACCTTCCCATGTAAAAGTTCTTTACTATTTTTGAATATTACACATTTACAGCATTAATATATATCCTCTTATATTCAAAATAATCTTTCAAGGCTCTAAGTTGTATTTTCAAAGAGTAATTTCACATTTAGGTTTCCCCTGTTTTTATTAACATTAGGGTGGTGATGTAACAGGAAGAAAAGAAAAGAAGTATAGTCATTCCTCTGTATCCAGAGTTCTGCATCCATGGATTTAACCAGACTTGTATGAAAAATATTTGAAAAAAGGAAAAATGTGTCTACATCGCATATGTATGGACTTATTTTTCTTGTCATTAGTCTCTAAAAAAATTCAGTATAAGAAATCTTTACACAGCACTTACATTATATTAAGTATTATCAATGATATAGATGATTTAAAGTACAAAGGAGGATATATGCAAATATATGCCATTTTATATAAGGCGCTTGAACATCTGTGGATTTGGGTATCCACAGAGGGTCCTAGAATCAGTCACTAGTGGGTAATGAGGCATGACTATATTATTATGAACACTGCCCTGCAGAACAGAGGAAGGCTTTATAGTGAACTGTCATTTAATCCTCGGGGTAAATCTGAAAAGCAGTGATGCCTGACTCTCATGTTACGGATAAAGGAAGTGGTGTGGACAAATGAAACTTGCTCAAGATCATGCAACCAATACCTGGCAGATCTCACCCACACTCCAACTCCGCTTTTCCTGACACCACATCCAGTCCCTTTCCACCATTTCCTGCTGTTTTCCATAAATTATAAATGCATGAATTCTAGTTGGACCAGTTATTCTAATTTCATTTTGAGTGTGGAATTTAAAATTAAAGAGGTTTTAGCTTTGCCAGATTCCATGTTTGAGTGAAATGGGGTGCAAATTCAGAAATGAAGGTGGGGCTTGTCTTAAGAGATTAAACAGAAGTACTGTTTGGTAGCTGGTGAGATAAAAGTGATTATTCATTCTACATTGGCTCTACACAATTGAGTATCTACTGATGAAGTAAATACTATTATTACATTTTATTTTTGCTCATCAATAACAGAAAAAACATTTTTTAGCAGTAGCTACATTTACTGAGCATCTACTATATACAAAGTGCTGTGTTTGGCCCTTTACAAACATGATCACAAATCTTCACAATATTTCTCAAAACTGGTTATCATTTGCATTTTGAAAATAAGCAAAAACAGAGATTACATTATTTTCCCAAATTCACTGGAATTAGCAAAACTCAGTTTTGGCCTGAATCTAAAATTGCTGCTTTTTCTAGTATATATGTACCCACTCTAACAGCATAAATCATTTAATGTCTATCAAGTTTTGAACACAGATTATTTCTCCTTTCCTGTTTAGTCTCTTTATAAAAGAGCACTGAACTGGAAGACCAGGAGTCCAGGTTACTAGATGGATTCTAATTACTTACCCAGCCACTTTTAAGGTCCCTAAGTTAGGTCTTAGTTCTCTCATATGAATATAAGGGATAATATTTTATTTTTATAATATTTTGGAATTTATATAATCTCTTTCCCATTTGAATGATGCTAAAAAACTTCTAGAAGAAAAACCTCATCATTAACACAATGACAGATTAATATTCTCAGTAATTTTACATGTTATTAATAGAACTTTTTCTTACTTTCCCGAAGTTTAAAAAAAGAATAACCTTTTCTTAAAAATTCAAATACACCAAAGTATATATTTTTTCTTGGCAATATAATCTATTTATGCAAAAATACTCTTTGAATAACCTTACATTAATAAGGTATTCACTAATTTTAATATTTTTGTATAAATCACCAAAATACATGAAAAAAATTAAACCAAATTAGTTCCAGATATCTGCAGTCACGAAATTCACAGTTAACATTTCATGTTCCACCTCCTACATCCTCCGCCCCTGCCACCTGCCTCCGACTGTCATTGGGATTACAAAACCTAACTGGAGCCCTAATAGTGTGCTTTTCTCTGAAGTACTTGAAAGATGTCCATCCCCAGTGCAATACAAATAATACAATTGGTTGTACTTTGAGAACCACTTGAGACCACCTCCTGAAACCTTCTTGGAGAAATAAAGAGAGAGAAAAAAGAACAAAAGTCTACTAACAAGGAGCTCTTGTATGTTGCTGGCAACTTCACATGACCTCATGCTATTAGCACTTGTATCAGAGGTCTGGAGACAGACTGTGACATACATATGGGCCTTATGCTATTAAGTGTAATTTAAAGCAGACCAGACAGCAGCACAGAAACAAATACTTTTCTGTTGCACCTGCATGTGTGAAGAACAGCTGGAAGAAAAATTGTTGTAATGGAACGAATACTAATTCCATGAATCTGGAGGCCTGACTGGTAGTTCTTTTCCTCATGTCTGAATTAACATCTGAAAATTATGCAATTACTTGACCCATTCAGGTACCCGTAGAACTCTGTCTTCAAAGCCATGCTTCTTTAGATTTAAAATCAGTAAACAGCCCATTCCTACTTGGGTGAACGGGGAAGGAACACTGCATCTGCCCTGTTTTGAATAACAACACTGGGGTTCTGTATTCAGTGAAGTTCAAGGAACAGAATGCATACCTTATTCCATTGCTCTATCTAATAAGCCATGCACTAAATTGCTAGACCACAACTAAATCTGGAAAAAAAAGGGGGGGGGGCTCTTATTTGACAATATGAAAATTTCATGAGGAATAAAAACTTTTATTTCATAAGAACTTGGTAACATGTATCAAATCTTTCCATAATTGTTACCACCCAGGGAAGCTGATGACAAAGCAATAAATGTCAAGAAAAGAAAGATCAAACTAAAGCATCAAAGTTAAAAGAAGTCATTAAAATATTGCTACTAAGAAGCACTGACTAGTTCACCAAAACACGGGCTCAGCACTTTTGAAGTGGGTTTCAAGAGGAACACATGAAAAACCTCAAGGTTTCCACATTTCAATTAAACCCTGGTGAAGAATGAATGCTCCCACCACACACAGACCTTCCCAACACTGCTAATCTTGTTTTAAGATAGGGGACCGTAGAGATCAAAAAACAGAGAATGTCAGTCCTTCTTTCACATTTTGCCAACCTGTAATTGGCCATCCACTCTCATCTTCAAGAGATGGGAAAGTGGGACAGAAAAGAAACAAAAATGAGAGGAAACCAAATAGGGACATTCCAGAATCACATTCTAATTCATCCAGAAATAGTAAAAAAAAAAATTGCATAATAGATCTAAGATATGTTTTCTTTCCCATCCTTCTACCTGCAGATGCACTCGCAGAAAAAAAAAAAAAAAAAAAAAAAAAAAAAAAAAAAAAAAAAAAACTAGCACCTATATGTTTGGGCAAAGTCCTACCATTAGAATGAGGTGTAAAGGCTTGGTAGATATAGTTCTTGAGGTAGGATGCATATACTCAGATTCTGTGCTGGTATGTTGCATGAAAGGGGTGTGAATTCTGGGAAACAAGCTATACAGTTTTTTAAAAGCTTCTTTTTCTCAAAATGATTCCTTTGGTGGTAT